CAAGGAAACCAACCATTCAGAAAAGTTCACCTTCTGAAATACGTATCCACCTGGACGCCCCCACCCTGACACTGGGTCTGTGGAAGGTGCACCATTCACGTTTGGCTGGCTGTTGATCGTAAGAACTCCGTGTTTATTGACATGGGCGAGTTTGTCAACAAAAGGCAATGTTTCTGATGCCAGTTCATCCTGATTCCATGGTATTTCCTTTACCTAAAAGGAAAGGAAAAAAGAGTTCTGTAAGTGACAAGATGAAGACAATACTCAGAGCGAGTCATTAACACCATACACCACACCACAGTGTATATATATTATAGATCATAATGATGGGTGTGAATTTCTCTCCGAACATTGGTGAATGTCTTTCAGCAAGTTCGTCTATCTGTCTCTGTCGGTCTGTTTCTGTCTGTCTGTCTTTGTCTGTTTTTGTCTGTCTTTGTCTGTCTGCCTGCCTCTGTCTGTCTGTCTGTCTCTACTATTTGTCAACCATCACCCAGCTTTTATGAATGGGTCCGAATGTTACTTGATCAACCGATATGCCAGACGAAGAATAAGAGAAACATGCACGTTGAGGGAAAGTTTTCTTCAATTCTCAGGTTCACAGTAAAACAAGCACTTTGGTGTCTATCAGTCGGATTGCCTCTAAGTCTGATCATTTGCATTGCTGCTGTCTGTATGCTAGACTTCCTCTCTGTCAGTCTGCGTGTCTATCTCTAGTCCTGTCTTTCTGTCCAGCTGTCTCTCAGTATGCCAGACTGTCTGTCTGACTATCTGTGATTGATTAAGTCAGTGCAAAGCCGGGATAAACTATGTTTTTTGTCCCCCTGCGAAACATTATTGTAGTCGAAAAGATGACTCCAAAGTCCCGCCATTGACTTTCCAAAAAGTACTTAAGAGACTCTGCTACAGATGAAATTGAAAAAAAAAGTGGAATCCTACATGCAGTCTCCACCGTTTCCACTCATAGGATGTCTCGCAGAAAAAGGGAGTAGTGTGAAATCCCAAAGAATGTCTGTGAATGAGAATACTTTACACAGAGCTGGGATTTGAATGGTGATGTAATGAAATGCGCAATAATGAAAATGAAAAAAGTAAACTAGTAAACTTTAAACATGGTGATTTAAGTAAAAGATGGTGTTCTTTATCGTGTTAACAGTTGAATTTCGCGAAATACCCACCTTGTATCCATGTCTGTTTTCTTTACCAGTCAAATAGCACACAAACACTTCAAACACGTCCTCAGGGCTGTTCAACTCACGCCCCCACATGTTCAACAACTCCTCTTTACTCTCGTTTGTACCCAACAACACCAAATGATAATCTCTCAATTCTCCGAAAGACGCTGCGCTAGAATCTCCCCACCTCCCGTTCGGGAACTCGTCCCAGTTTGACGTACGGATCATGTAACTGCGAGGTCTTGAGGTCCAAAAAATCGGACGCACTAGCTCCATTTGCCCCCTTCTTGCTTGGGCAGGGCCTGGCATCCAAGGAAGTCTCCGCATGGAAGCGGAATCCAATTCGTCCTCTTTGTAGGACATTCCAATCTTTTCCAGAATTTCTGTGATGGAAGTCTCCCTGTTTAGCGTATAGAAATGGACGCCATGGACGTGACCGCTTCCAAACAGCTGTTTACACATTTCTGTGGAATATTTAATGCCATAATTCATGACTGCAGTGGTGTCTTCTTTTATTGGAGCCAGTTTGTCCAACAGCCACTGTGGTATCTCTACGCGGGATAGCCGTTTCAGTTGCCGCAATGAGTTAAAGTTCTGTGGAATACCAAAATAATAAGTTTAAAAGTCGTGTCATACATCAGCCCTCGTTAAAAGTGCAGTGGATCCAGGGTTTCGCCCAGCGCCCGCGAGTAACTTAATGACCTTGAGCAAAGAGAGCTCGGGAAAAGGTCTGTACGAGTTCTGGCTGGTTTCTATTAATGCCAGACCTCTCGCCAGCTCGCTCTGCTCAAGGCATTAAACCATTTCGCGGAGTAACGCTGGTACCTAAACGCTTATGATGCGGTTCAGCTCTCCGGCTAAGTCACGCAGTGATATGACAATGTCGAAGTCGAAACTTAACACTGCTTTCCTTAAAGACTATCTACGTATTGACTATGTGGGAGGGCCGGACGGAAACAAAGTTGGATCGAGGTCATGACGTATTGACCTAGAGCCAAGTAATTTCCCAGGCCCGACCGAATTCAGTCAATAGGCATTTTATCATATAACCTTTTATTATTAAAAACTGGATCATTGGATAATGCAATTCAAGACTTTTCATTGGCTTAGCCATTATGGTATATGAGCCAATATACCATAAACTACGATATGGTAAGCGTATGCATAAGCTTAAAATTGAAAGGGAGCTAAAAATTTAATAAAATTTAATAATTTAACGTAGCGTTTTTAATAAAACAATTATTCCACTCGCGTTTGTTGGATATGAGATGAATATAGCCAACTCGGCGCTACGCGCCTCGTTGGCTATCTATCATCTCATATCCAACGCGCGCTCGTGGAATAATTGTTAATTATATATATTTTTTTTCACATCTTATTCTATTATTTCGCATCTTGCGAGGCTGAACGGCTTTTTCCGGCCTTGCACGTGCCATCGCGTGCGGCTCTTGCACGTGCCATCGCGTGCGGCTCTTGGACGGAGAGTTTTGTCTAAAGTTTTTTTAACTAGGAGCGCGTGCGGGGGCCGCACGGCTTATATAACAATACAGTTGGGTTATTAACCAAGCGTGAGGTCAAGATGGCTGGATATTGGCCGAGTTCTTTTTTTGCATTTTTATGGACCGAGACGAAGTCTTATTCTATTTATTCCATGCGCGGGATCGTTGCGGGCAATCCCGAGCAGGCAAGATGGGCCCATCTTGCCTGCTCGGGTAGCCAATCAGAACGCAGGACTCACTTCATCTTGCCCATGGGCGCTGTGAGTGATGTAATAAAACTTATTAAATACCTGAATTGGAAAAAGAGCTGGTATAATGGGTACATTAATTCTGTTTCTCTGGCAATCGTCTACAAACTTTAAGAAAGTTTTAACTTCAAAGAACATCTGTGTAATGATAAGGTCTGCACCGGCATCAACCTCAGCTTTAAGATGCTTCAAGTCCTCTTCATAACTATTAACGTCAGGGGAGGCCATCAAATATCCTACAACACGAGAGTTGAAATGGTATCATTCCACCATTACGCCATTTTATCGCAAAAGGGCATCGGAACGCGCAAAATATGCCATAGTACTGCACTGAAAAACAGGGCAAAAATACGGACATAAAGAAAAGATGGACACATTGGACGATCCAAACCATGGTTTTATCTCATTTTTTAGGCCTGACTTTTTAAGCCAGTGCGGATCTAGGGAAGGGGCCTGGGAGACCCGGGCTACCCTTATTTTGAGTAAAAAAAATAAACGCAGAAGGAACAAAAAGCCGGCAGGTGCACACACACAACTCCCCCCCCCTCCCCTCAGCTCCAGGTCTGGATTTGCCTCGGTAAGGAATGAACTTTCAATTAAAGCGCGTCTGATCCTTTTTGTCCGTCACGCAAAAAACACTTAAATGGTTTTGCTTGCTTTGTTTTCATCTTCCACGCAGTCTACATTCGATCGATACTACGCCCAGTTAGATCGAAAACTAGCAGCCAAAATACTAGAAAATGAAATAAATGAGGAATAGAAATCCCTTATTCGACGGTTAAACATGCAATTCGGGTAATATTATTTCTATGTCCTGCAGAGGCAACGAAAACTGCAAGTCATGAGCAAAAGGTTAGTTCTCATCATCAAATTATCCACCCGTATTACATGTTAAACCACTGAATAGGGTGTGTATAATTCTCGCTTACTCCAAGAGGGCCAACTCTTATTTACCATGCGGAAGTCTCATACCTGCAGATACTAGATACTAGTATCTGCAGGTATGAGATGGACAAACATGCACAAACATGACATTTATTACCAAAGGGAATAAATTAATTTATGCAGCCTGCGCCGCGTTTTATCATTACCCCGGATGGGTTACATCTGGGACTTACAATGGCAGATATTTTTAGTTAAGCTTCGGTGCAGGGCAAACATTTCCCACCCTATTAACCCGCCCATTGTTTTCGAACATTCTCATAGGTGCGTTGAGTTCTCACTCGATGGGTGTTTGCCCTCACCTTTGCTGGGATTAGGTTTTATTTCCGGATTTACTGTAATTTGATTTGGTATTAAAAAATAAACGGCCCCTCAACTGAGTGGCCAAATTACGGCAAATAAAGGTTGTCCGTTTAATT